ATACCCCTGATTCGCAACAGATGGGTCACTGAAGCTGTTGAAGTGAAGGCATGAGTAAGAAAATACTGTTTACCGGTTGTTTTCGTGTTTGCGGTAGACTCGGTCATGTCACAGAGCTTGGGGAGAGAGGAGACAAGTATAAGTCATACTGACAGAAAGACTCTAAAAGATGTGAATATCATAGATGATTCGTGTCTTTTGCTTTTTTGCGAAATCAATGATTCAATAGCAAAATTCAGCAATTATGTAATGGGTAAAATTTATTTTGATAAATATTCGCAGTGGTACAGTGATAATGTACAGTAATATAAGAATAAACCTTGTGCACTGTGGTAGAGTATAATTTCATTACCCATAATGGAATCATAATTATAACAAGGTACTCACACAGCTTTCGAAATTCCTCTATATAATTCTATTATTTTTCATCACTTGATTTGATTGGCAGTATTATTTTCCATATTTCTGGTATGAGTGATGAGTCACTCATATTGCACGTGTTGGGTGAAAATTCACTTGATGAACATGGATTGTCAAGTGTTGGTTTTGTAGGGATTTGGTTTGATTGTATGGAGGATTTAATCATGAGCTGACATCAGTTAGAGAACCACTGGAAAACCTGGGAGTGCTGGACAGCTGTTTCGTCCTAGTTTGGGACTCCTCATCAGTACGCACCCACCGGGGTTCGAACCCAGGACCTTCTGGTTACAAGGCGAGCTCGTAGACCATTGAGCCACTGGGACCCGATCCAATGGCCCATGAATTCTAACTTCTGCCAGTTCACGACATAGCGCGACCACTTCGCAATGTCTTCTTCGATGAGTTACTGCCTCATCTTCGACCTGCTGTACACTACTGGTCACGGCTTCGAACCCCGGTGGGTGCGTACTGCTGAGGAGTCCCAAACTAGGACGAAACAGCTGTCCAGTACTCCCAGGTTTTCCAGTGGTTCTCTAACTGATGTCAGCTCATGATTAAATCCTCCATACAATCAAACCAAATCCCTACAAAACCAACACTTGACAATTTATCAGATGCTCACTAGTGACTGGCCCTATTCAGGCAGTTAACCTGGGTTCTAGTGGGAAGCCGTGACCAGTAGGGTACAGCAGGTCGAAGATGAGGCAGTAACTCATCGAAGAAGACATTGCGAAGTGGTCGCGCTATGTCGTGAATTGGCAGAAGTTAGAATTCATGGGCCATTGGATCGGGTCCCAGTGGCTCAATGGTCTACGAGCTCGCCTTGTAACCAGAAGGTCCTGGGTTCGAACCTCGGTGGGTGCGTACTGCTGAGGAGTCCCAAACTAGGACGAAACAGCTGTCCAGTACTCCCAGGTTTTCCAGTGGTTCTCTAACTGATGTCAGCTCATGATTAAATCCTCCATACAAACATGGATTGATTAATCAACCTCTCTCTCCCCCGATGTACCTATATTACATCTTAGAATTTTAACCCTCTCCTTCCCAGTCTATTGTGTGGTTGTGTGTTAATGCATGCAGTACAATTGCTGAGCTTTTTTCCAAATTGCTTATCTTCTCGGAGTCACCCATTCTTGCCTTAGCTGAATTCTTAGGTTCTGATAATCTCACTACTCTTGATCTACTAGTTTGACATATATTTAGTTGACCTCACTCACAGTCATCTCAAGGTGTTTAGCAAATTATATTATTTTGTGTGATTGGATCCACTGGGTCCTTTAGCCTACAGAGTTTGTCCTATATGAGTGAGTTTGTAGGTTTAAATGACACTCTAATTCCTGCTTTATTAAAAATCCCACCACATAGGGTCTCAGATGTCCACCAATGCTTCCTCTTCTATCTGTTTTATTTCATCATTCAGGTCTTTTCTTGTACTACATAGTGCTATAATATATAAATGAAATTAGAAAGTTGTGTAAATAGTGTCTTGATTTCATTATGAGCGGTAACGTGGTCATCAATAAATATTACTGTATAACACCACTGTGAGACTTTATCAAAATAAATTTTATCCATAATGAAATTATACTTCATCGCCACAGTGCACAAGTTCTATTCTTATAATAAATTCAATAAGATGTCAGAAAAGGCAGCGAAGATATCCCTTTAAGTGTATGTGGAGAAGGCAAAAGTAATTAAGATACCGAATCAACAACATTGACAAGGATCAGTCACACAGACAACAAAAGGAATCTAAAAGGAGTCATCTATTTCACTTCTTCAGACAGAATCGTTCCAATATACAGGTGACAGGGATGAGGCAAGAAAAAGACACACGTTCATTACTCTTAAATCTTTGTGGAAATCTGCTTAATTCAGTTTGAAGAACAAGGTCCACTTGTGTATACTTCATAGACTACGTGGACACTTCACCAAGACTGTTTCCGACAGGCTCCTGAGTACTTTTATGAACATCAGTTAGAGAATCATTTGTAAGCAATCTTGGATTGCTGGACAACTGTTTCGTCAGCCTAGTTTTGGATTCTGCAGCAGTACGCATCCACCAGTAGGGTTTGAACCCAGGACCTTCTGGATACAAGGCTAGCGAGCTCGTAGACCATTAAGCCACTGGGACCTGATTCAATGACCATCCTATTAATTCTAACCTCTGTCAATTTATGACATAGCGCTACTACTTCGAAATGTCTTCTTTGATGAGTTACTGCATCACCTTTAACTGGTCACGGCTTCCTATTAGAACCCCAGGTCACTGCCTGAATAGGGCCAGTCGCTAGTGAGCATGAGATCAATTTTTCAAGTACCCCTTTTGTTTGATTGCTCGGAGGATTTCATCATGAGCTGACATCAGTTGGAGAACCATTGAAAAATTAGGACGAGACAGTTGTCTGTCCAGTACTCTCAGCTTGTTTTCCAATGGTTCTCTAGTCAATGTCAGCTCATGATGAAATCCCCCAGACAATCAAACAATAATCCGTACAAAACGCAATACTTGGAAAACGTTTATCAACAGTTTCTTCCACTAGCTGAATACCACATTCCAGATATCCAGTCATAAAGGATAAACAGTGAGGAACTCTGACAGGCAGGGAACACAATGTGATGTGTAGTATGAAATAGAAATGTATTAAACATAAGCTGAAGGGATTTTTAGTTAGCGTCTCTATCCAGGTCGTTGAGTGGAACCCAGATGGGCAACGACGAACCTATTGTTTATGATTGGTTAAAGGAAACAGGGATCCAAGGAACCAGTTAAAAGAGTCTGCAAAGAACAGAATGAAATGGAACTGAAAACCTGGAAACTTATCGTCAGTAATAAAAGCAATTAGGTCGTCATACATGAAAGACATTTCAAAAAAATTACTAACTTAAATAACTCTATTGATACACAATGGAATTTCCACAATATTCAAACACAAAAGTTGCAAAAGATTTCTTGGAGGTTATTCTACTTCAAATAGGCAGTGATCACTTGACATTTGTGAACTGTCTAACACTGTCAACAAGACAGAATTCCACAGATGTAATTTAATATCATTATGAGAGTAGAGGACTGGTAAAGTCATTCGACCAGGAGGACAACAACGCATGGAGAGTGTCGGGAAAGGTGTACAGCATTCGGAAATGGTTTAACTATACAGAAAATTCTTTTCTCATAATTTATTCAGAACAAAATAATTAGAGCGAACCATTGTCTTTTCAATAAATTCTTCTTCAGGCTCTACAGATATAAATCCATTAATTTAAGCATACAATAGCCAGTAAAGGCAGAGAACTTCCAAAAAAAGGTATCTGTCAATAACTAGAGATAGGTTAAAGGTGGATACCGTAGACAAGAAACCTTTGTATTTGAAGTTAAGTTACAAATGGGAAATAGCAGCTGACATTCTAAAATGTTGACTTAACAGAGCGCTGGGGTGAACATTTCCTGCAGCTAAACTGGTACTCAACTTCTCAACTGAACCAGTACTCTTGCAGCCAGTTAGGGATAAATTACCAATAATGGCCTCATCAGTGTGTAGCTATGAATTCAACTGCTCATGTGGAGTTAGTTACATTGGCCGTACTCAGAGGGCTTTATCCATGTGCGTGCGTGAACATGTACCTGTATGGTTGAGTAAGGCGGTAACCAAATGCGTAAATAGTGTAGTTCTAGCCCACTTGGTAGATACTGGACACTCGATAAAACTTGACCAGGCGTTCTCAGTTATTTACTGCATTACTAGCATTCTATCTAGAGAAGCTCGACTAAGTCCTTGTGTCATTAGCTGAAGCGGTTGCAATCAATACCATAAGACCAACTCTTTGTATGCAAAAGAAATATGTTCAACCTTTATGCTTACCTTGGCCTACAATAAGGCCAACAAATCTTCCATAGACATTAGCACCTTACATTCCTATCACAAATTTCTTTTCTTTTCTTCTATTCCTTTGTTTTATTGACAAATGCTCGTCTTCAACTTTTATGATTTCATGACCTTTCTGTTACCACCTTAGGCTTAAGTAGTACTTTTCTAACTTGTTATCGTACTTGCAAAATCTTGTTCATTCCACTTCATTATTATTATATGACAGTCATTCACTAACAGTACTTCTAGTTTTATACCCCATAATCGTTATTATTTTTACGAGTTGATCACGGATAGAGAAACATTGAAAACCAACACTGGAGTACTGGACAGCTGTTTTCTCCGTACTAGTTTGGAAATCATCGGCAGTACACCCTCACTGCCTGGGCTCGAAACCAGGACCTTCCGGTTACAAGGCTAGCAAGCTCATATACCATTCAGCCAGTAGGACCCGATTCAATGGCTCATGAATTCTAACTTGTGGTTATTTTGAAGGTTGATATTATGTCCAATCAGCCCCATTTGTTGGTTTATTTTCATACTATCTCACACACACACTCTGATTACACTTACTCTTGAAACCTGATTATTTCATCTCATTTCACCTCATGTTCTCATTGACTGATTTATTAAAACACCTCTAACTGTGCGTACTACTTTCGAGATAGACAATCAACAATCATAAAGACATATGTGACATGTATTACGTAACAAGGATATTGCAAAACAAATCGAGTATATGTATTTAGGTATATATATATATATATATATTTATTTATCTATATAATGATTGGAAGGCTTTGCGTGTAGTTTTCTTCGTCAGTTGAATTCACATGAATTCACATGTTACACATTTTAATCATTTTCATGATTCTGTCCAGTCGGTGGAGTAGGAAGCCATGGACTTGAAAGTAGATTACAATTGTTATCATTAGTAGTAGTAGTAGTATTAGTAGTATTATTGTTAGTAGTCGTTGTAGTACTATTTGTATTATTCATTTGCATATTTAATAATCTATCACCGAATGATGTTGACTGAGGTAATTCTGAACAACACGTCGTCGTTGAGAAACGAGCATCTGATTTATTATTATGATTATTATTATTGTTATTAAAATTAATGAGACAATTGTCGTGCTGTTGACTTAATTTGCGTTGTTGTATCTCTGGCTTTCTTAACACAGGGTAAACTGAATTGACCATATGTCGACTGGAATGTGTACCAGCTAATTTAGAGATAAAAATAAATGGAATAGTGAGGAGGGAGGGAAGAGGGGGAAATAAAGCGATTAGATATATGCGTATTTATATAAATTAGTAACAAGTTAAACAGAAATCTCACTGTATTAACTCCCTAGAATACTTGATTTTTATGTCAATCAGTGTAGCCTAGTGAGTTTAGTTTAATTTCTTTAGTTTATATTGTGACTGTTATTTCCTTAGGTTCTAATTGGAACAAACGGCTCCAACTACACATCTTCACTTTGTTATATTTTCTTCTGTCCTATTTAGGTGTGCCCACGATTGCGCATAGTTTCTCATCTCATCTTCGTACGATTTCTTCTTCCATGTGGCCGCTGAATCGACAGCACACACACACATAATTTCCCATCGGGTTTCTACTCGATTGACGGCTTGGCGATAGTGTGATGTCATTCGACAGCCTCCCCCATCGTTTGTCCAATCCGTATCCACTTTCCTCTACATATTTTTTAGGCAGTAGGCTCTCGGTTGATTTGTTGCCAGAGTTTCCGTTTGGTAAGTTTTTCTGGATATCTGATCTTCAGTATGGAGCCAGAGAACGCAGTCGCTGATAAAAGTCTGCAACAAACTTCTGGGCCAGGGCCAAGTTGCTGACGCTTATTAAAGAACTGTCAGACTGACTTCACATTCGTTTCCCTTCACGTTCCCAGTGGGACATGGGGCTTCAAACCAAAGCTTTGAAGTTTCGGTAGCAGTGATATTTATTTGTACTGGATAGGGTCACTAACCTCACGCCCAGCCTTCCCTCTTTACCAGTCTTACTGTGGTGAGTGAGACCAGGCTGCTAGCCAATTGGTAGACATTAATTTACGTCAGTGTCTATGTCACTAATATTGGCCGTGAGAAAATATGAACAAGGCTGATTCAAAAACCAATCACAGCAGGCTTAACGTGGGCGAATAAGATTCGCAAATATATGGCTTAACTTTCCGAGAAACCGGAAACAACCAATAAGAGGACTGTGTTTGTCTGCTTGAATAAGCTATAATAATGTACATGAAGTAAATATAAATACGTGCTGATTTCCGTAATAAAACGATCTGTTACCGCCCCTTGTCTTCTGTTGTTATCTTACTACTGGCTTGGCGAGGTGAAGAAGTGCATCAGTGGCCGGAGATCGAACCCCGGACCACCTGCGCCGTTGGCAAGCATTCTACCGCTGTGTCACCAACTTTACATTGGTGTTGAAAATCTGAATCTTGTTTTTCCGTTGACTAAGTACAGTAGAGAAGATTCTTAAGCTGGTTTCAGATTGATGAAGGTGTATCTGGCCTTTTTTCGATTCTGGCTGGCTAGCTAGCTTTGATATCTTCATCCGTCCTGTCGGCTTTAGCTGAAACTATGCTTCCTAGATAAGTGTAGGCAGAATGTAACCTCTGTTGAATTTCTCCCGTTGGTGGTGACTGTTACTAGTTTTTGTTGCTGTTTAAGGATTTCATTATGAGCTGACATTAGTTAGAGAACCATTGGAAAACCAACATGGGAGTACTGGACAGCTGTTTCGTACTAGTTTGGGACTCTTCAGCAGTACGCACCCACCGGGATTCGAACCCACGACCTTCCGGTTACAAGGCGAGCTTGTATACCATTAAGCCACTGGGACCCGATCCAATGGTCCTTGGAATCTAACTTCTGCCAATTCACAACATAGCGCGACCGCTAGCCAATGTCTTCGGCGAGTATTTGTCCTCACACCCGTTCTGCTGCACCCTACTGGTTACGACTTCCCACTGGAACCCAGGTAACTACCTACCTGAATAGGGCCAGGTTTTCCAATGGTTCTCTAACTAATGTCAGCTCATGATGAAATCCTGAAACCAATCAAATCCCTACAAACCAACACTTGAATAACCTAATGTTTACCTGGAGTCCTGTCTTCTTTGCCTGTTTCACCTATTCAGTCAGTTTGTTGGTTTTTGTCTTCCTACAAGTCTTCGAGGTTGCATGAGTGACATTAAACATAAATCATCCATATGTGTGAAATCCAGATCTTCTAGTTTTTAGATTGGTCCAGCGTATTCCTCTTTTCTCACTTTCCACGCACAGTCTGACGCATAATCCAGTTTATAGTAACTCACGATTAATTTTTCACCTAGTAGTGGACTTTAAATGCTCACAGGTTAAATTGTCTCTCGCATAATAAAGTCTCTGAGTGAGGGACTTGACAGACAACGCTGAATTCAAGCGCCTCTTGATAAACCTTTGTGATTAGCACTTACAAGAAGGTTATCTACCTTCAATCATATAGAAAGTACATATGCATGTAAGACTGTTTTGAATAACAAATCAAAATCTGTTACAGGCTGAAGATCAGGAAATATCCTGCTGTTCTATAATGAGATACATCAAAGCTAAAGCCAAAGGAGTGGAGATGCTTTCTGTTGAATGCTTCTAAACCAGGATGAAACAGCTATCCATTACTACCTGGTTTCCATCGATTCTTTAAATGATGTATATCCATGATCCTACTTAAAACCAGAAAATACTGGGCAGATGTTTCGCCCAAGTTTGGGCCACTTCAATGGCGAATGAATTCTTGGAATTCTAATGAAAAATCATGATAGATTTGGTCTGACATGTCAGTTGAAGATCGTCAAACTAAAATCAAATAGTTGCAGAGTACTCCACAGTTTTTATGAGTACACGTGAGCGTATGATGAGATCTGGCTGCTAGCCAAATGTGTATACAATAATTTACGTCAATGTTACGTTCTGAATCAGGGTCGTGAGAAAAACAATAACAAAGCTTAACCTTGAGGAACGCACCAACCAATCGCAGTAGACTTAACGTGTGCAAATAGCATCCATGGATATATGGCTTAACTTTCTAAGAAACGGTCACAACCTTCAGCAAGAAAACAACTAATCAGAAGATCTTGCTTCTCCACTAACAATAATGTACATAAAAATCTATAAATACCTCTTGAATTTCTCAATGAACGATCTGTTGCCTGGTCGTTGTCTTCTATCGTTACAAGCTTAAATCGTCAAATAAATTCTAAGCACAAGGTTTTTTTTTGAAAGTTCTACGGTATGGATGAATACAACTTCACTGAAGGAATTTCTCAACAATACTTTGAATGCTTTCAGTTTGTAATACAATCTTCGAGAAAGTGAAGTTAAAACTTGTCTTAACGTAAAACTGGAAAACCCAGTTGTTGAGGTTGTATACGTCTTCATTGCGCAAGAAGTTCAAGCAGTCTATGGGGGGAAATTTTTAACTTTATTTTCAGAAAAGTTTCATAATAAATTCTATGTAAGCATTTTTATTTTTTGAAACATTTTTGTAGCTTATTTTCGCCTGTTTGTTCTCTTTTGTTTCTAAATGGCTATTCATCGCTTTAATGATTAGTTTTCAGCCCCATCGATTACGTTAGATGGTTCAAATGTTGTTACTTTTCATAAGTTTTGACTTATTCACTTATTACTTTTTAAGAGAAGCCACGGAAAGGAGATATCTCTTTGTTGAAGTCAGTTCCGTTTTTACGGGAGACTGATGCGACCGAAATGTCTGGTCATTTATTTCTTTAACAAGTAATGGTTGATACTTATTGTGCCAGAGGCGACTCTGGTGGCCCAAATGACCTGATGGATAGCGCTTTGGAGCTTGAAGCAATTGGTGCATGGTTCGAGTCTCAATGTGAGCGGCATCCCCACTCACTCATGGATTGCAAGGTCCTGAAATGAACGGAATGTGCATCCTGAATTCCACTGACAGTCACTACCTACCCTACATAAGAGATCTTACATCATTATGTATCTGAAGCTAAAATGTCAAAAAGTGATCCAAAAAAATGGAACTTGAACCCAACGCACCGTTGTTATGCAGTGTGTCTGTTGATCTCTTGTCACATGTTATTGTTTTCACATTAAATCCGTCACCAGCATCATCGCCGTCATTATCTTCAATTTCTGATGATATATTCGATGCATCTATCACAGCTGCACGTCTTGATCGAATTCCATACGGATTTCTACACTGTTCAGGTATATGCAAATCATTGGGACTAGTAATTTTGCGTTTATTTTCGTAATTTTCATTTAACAATGGGAAATCACTACTATCTATAAAAGTAGAATAATAATATCGAAAACAAAAAATTAAGCAATCAGAATTAGTCTACTTAATAATTAATACAGTAGTATACTGTTTTCAACAGCATTTATGTTGAAGTTGAATAGTGAATATTTTGTGTAAATTAGAACTGGCCTGACTGACTGATATTTTGTTGATGGTAACTGGCGAAGAAATGCAGGATAAGTGTTTTCTCATATTTCGGACTCAATAAATGGGTTCACGTGCTCTTCAGTGAGTGGTTGTGTTGTCAATGAGGCTGGAAATCAGCAGCCACCGGTGAAATATTGTCAATAAGATTGGGAACGAGGATTTGGCTTGAAGGGCATTTTCTTATGATCTAGTCTCACTTACACGATACTCTAATAAAGAAAACTTTGGTTGTTGCATAATTTTTTTTGTCAAATACGTCCAAATTTTGAGAATATTCATATAAGGATATTTCGTCGGTACATATCAAAGGAGTCACTTAAAGCAGACATCTAATTAGGGGATCGTTAATATGATTTTGAAATACCAACGACCTTAATGTGCATCCACACCATTTACCTTGAATTGTCTATTGAGTTTTATTTATATGAGTTGAAGCTTCTATTCCACTTGATTCGAGTTAAATGCCTGCCTGATGATTTTCTTATTTCTTGAGAACATTTTTTGCCAGATCCCATCTTTCCTTAGTCAAGATTTTATATATTTGTAATCGATGGATTTTAAACACAGCTTGTGAGAAGCGTAGCTTTATCAACAGTTCAGTGGTACCAGTACTGCAGGGATATGGCATCCTGGAAAATGTAGAGACTTAATTCCGAATTCGGAGCTGAAGATGTCGTATTACAAGCAGATGTAGCTGTTTTATTAAAGCGAAAAACAACTGTAGTCGAGAACAACCAAATAATATTTGGTTGATTGGTTTATATGATACTTTTGTACAGAAAGAATTCGTCGAGAGGATAGCAGATAGAAAGTCGAGTACTTTAATCCCTATTATTACTCGACTGGAGAAACAAGGATCTATAATACTCACAAATGAGTGGAATATTTGTGACTTCTTGTCATCCTTTGTGTACATTCACCACAGGGTCAACTATTGTAATGATTTTGTGGATCCCATTTCAGAGATCCACAGCACTTCTATCAAAGACTTATTGGGAAGGTTAAAAAACAGGATCAGAATCCCTGTTGGATCACAAAGCGATGCCACTGATAGTCATTTAGATGATTATAGGTGAAAGATGTGGTGTAACTTTTCCACTGATGCTCCATGCTAAACTGGGAGGTGTTTTTTATCACATATGAGAGAAGGGTATCCTCTGTAATACTTTTATAGAGCTTTTATGTATGTTTTCATAAATATGTGTATTTCATACCCAAAATTACCCCCTCCATGTGATTGCTGCATTCAGGGTCATTCACTGATTCCTAGTTAATCTTGCTTAAAGTTTAATTTTGCCGATTACTGGATGACACATGTTCCAGGGTTGCTGGAAAACTGTTGGGAGCGAAGTTAAACGCAAGCGTAAATCACAGAATTTGTGCACCCTGTAGTAGTTAGTCTGTTAGATCGTTGGAGGTGATTAGCAGGAAGCCTTGGAGCCAGGTTTCATGCTGGTTTGCACACACCAGTCAGCAAGGCGTATATGTAACCGGCTCATATAGCACAACTATATCAAAATCTTTGAAGGAACCCATGTCCCTTCTGAGATTTGAATCCACTTCACCTAGTACTTCAGTCAGAGACGTTACCACCGATCTTTTCGTGCTCACACTAGTCACTTACTAGTGTGCAATCACAAAGATCCCCTACAGACCTACAGGAGGCCAATCGCGAGTCGAAATAGCTTAGTGGTAACGTCTGTGATTGTAAGCAGCACTGAGTGACTCGTGAGTGACAACTACCATGAAACCTAGGTCAAAGCATCCTGTGGCCTATTGCCTCCAACCATCTTATTATTATTATTGTATCCTTTAGTTCCTAGAGGAACATAGGGCTTCAGCTGCGCACCTCCATTGACTTCGGTTTTCTGACAACTTTTTCACCCTGCTCCAGGTATGTCCACATGCTTTCATCTCTTCCTCGCATGACCTCCTCCAAGTCACCCTTGGACGACCAACTCGCCGCCTCCTTTTCGGGTTCCACTCGAGGGCTTGTCTAGTGATGTCACTTGATGGTTTCCTCAGAGTATGGCCAATCCATCTCCATTTCTTTCTGCCTATTTGTTTCACAATCGGTTCCTGATTGGTTCGCTCACTGCCAGAGATCCGTGTTGCTGATATTTTCTGGCCGGCCATCTGATCTTGAGTATTGAGCGAAGACAGCTGTTAATGAAGGTCTGATGTTTGTTTGAGATGCTCTTTATGACTCGCCAAGTCTCTGATCTGTATAGTAGCACTGACTTTACATTGGAGTTGAAAATCCGGATCTTATTTTTGATGCTGAGTGCTGTTGACCTCCACACAGATTTGAGAGTAATGAAAGCTTGTCTTGCTTTTCCGATTCTCTCCAACCATCTAATATCATCAAATCAATGTACACCTTGATGGCGAGCTACCTAGAATGGTGGCCACATTGGAAACCTGACTGAAAGAATTCAGTCTACTCCAAAGAAACGAGTAGACACATCACAATAGTTACTGACTTGTGTCCAATCAAAGTATCCCACAGTCGTCTGCTTGACAAATTAAATTTCAAGAGTTGGTTTGTAAGGATTAGATTCTTTTTACGAGTTTGATCAGGGATTGATGTCAGTTAGAGAGAACCATTGAAAACCAACACTGGAGTATTGGACAGCTGTTTTATCCTAGTTTGAGAATCATCGTCAGTACGCATCCACCCCACAGTCAGGGTTCGAACCCAGGACCTTCAGGTTACAAGGTAATCTCGCATACCATTCAGCCACTGAGACCTCACTTCTCAGTGGCCACTCCATGAATTCTTACTCCTATCAATTCGTAATTTAACGCGAGTGGCACCAGCCAATGTCATCGGTGGGAAATTCATCCTCACACTTGACCGGATGGACATCACTGGTCACGATTTCTCATTAGAACTGCTCCAGAAAACTCCGTCCTGTAGCAAGTCGTATTGCCAAGGATTCCAAAACTAGGATGAAACAACTGTCCAGTACTCTAGTGCCGGTGTGGTGAGAGCAGGCTGCTAGCCGATTGGTTGGTGAGAAAATATGAACAAGCCTGAGTCAACACCAATCACAGCAAAGTTAACGTGGCAGAAGTGTGGTGAGAGCAGGCTGCTAGCCGATTGGTTGGCACTAATCTACGTTAAGGTCTAGGTCACTAATATGGGCCGTGAGAAAATATGAACAAGCCTGAGTCAACAACCAATCACAGCAAAGTTAACGTGGCAGAATATGATTCGCAGAGAGAACTCTATTTGTCAAGGAATCCCGAAACAACCAATCAGAAGCCTGCGTTTGTCTACCTAAACAACCAATCAGATGACTGCGCTTGTCTATAATAATGTAGTTGAAAGATGTATAAATACGTGTTGATTTTCATAATAAAACGATCTGTTGCTTCGCCCTTGTCTTCTGTTGTTACACCGGTTTTCAGTGATTCTCTAACTGATATCCATCTATGGTTAAATTCGTAAAAGCATTAGATTTCGCATAAAAAAGGCATTTGAATGGAAGCCAAGTCGGTTAAATGTATGCTTGTAACCATTTCAGGAAAACATCAGCGCTACTGTCTACTTACCTGCATATTTCGATTTTATAATTGGTTGGGCGATATGCGGAACAATCCCCTTAGCTAAATTATTCAAACCAATTGAATCATTTAAATGTCCACCGCCCAGATGATGATGATGACCACTTCCATGTCCACTCATAAAATTCGATTTATGCTTTGGTCGAATAGCTTCTACAGGTAGGATACGTCTTCGTTTCTTTGGCAGTTTTGAACGAGCCAGGGTATGTGAATAAAACATTGAGAAATTTGAGACAATGACAGGAACTGGTAGAGAAATTGTCAGTACACCAGTTACTGCACACATTGCACCAACAATCATTCCTATAGAGATGCACATTAGGAAATAAATCACATGAGTGAGCAGTTTTTCATAAATTGTAAACATCTACAGAATGACAGAGATTAATTTAAGTGGTGAATAGTTACACGTTATCGTTTAAGAAGTCAAATGTAAGAGAAATATAGGGCGAAATTCGAAAAGGATTTACTGTATGATGGTGTGGTTGGAGAAGCCTGCTAAGGAGACACTGTAAGAATGTTTCTTTCCTTTGGGAGGTCAAGCTCGTTATCAGCTAAGCACACTAATTGATTTGAATTTATCTGACTTTCAAAGAAAGCCATGACGACTGTTCACCTTGTACGTCGTGTAGGGTGTAATCGACGAATTTCATTCCTATATTTACTCTTTCAGTAGAATTACAGGTCATGCCTTTTTTGATTCACTAACCACTCTGACAAATAATTTCTTAGGATCACACAGATAGATGTGCACATATTAGATAGTCGGAGGCAATAAACAGGAAGCCTTGGACCTAGGTTTCGAGCTAGTTGGCATTCGTCAGCCAGGCGTATCTGCAACATTGAAGGAACTCATGGCCCTTCTGAGATTCGAACCCGCGTCACCTAGTGCTGCAGTCCTACTGGAGGTCGATCGTGAACCTGAATAGCTCACTGGTAAAGTTTCTGAATGCAGGCAGCACTGGATGATGTGGGTTCGAATCTCAGAAAGGACATGAGTTCCTTCAAGGTGATTGCATATACGCCTTGCTGACTGACCGGTGAGTGCCAACTAGCACGAAACCTAGGTGGACTTCCTGTGGCCGATTGCCTCCATCTATCTAATATCATCAAATCAATGTGCACCGTGATGGCGAGCTACCTAGAATGGTGGCCATATTGCACATCAGTCTACACCAGAGAAAGGTCCAGACACGTCACAGTAGTTACTAGTGTCCAATCAAAGATATGTACATTTTCATTACTGGAAAACAATTGATGTCTCATGAAGACTTAAGCCATCGATGCTGAGTAGAGGAAGTCAGATAGAACGATATATTCAACCTTTAGTGAATGATAACTGTATATAATAGCCTGACTAATTCATCTTCTTTAGTCATGATACAGGAAGCCGACTGGAGTCCTAGTGAGAGGTTGTGACAACCGGGGCCTACCGAATTAAGTAAAAGGGCGGTTAATTTCCTGTGAAATTTTCAGGTGGTTGAGCCATATATCGTGAACTGATAGAAGTTAGAATTTATAGGTCACCTGGTCGAGTCGGTTTGAATGTGTGAGTGGTCTACGAGATTTGTAATAGTCCTGTCATGCTGTGAACAAACCTGTGATATTAAAGAGTTCGCTTCAGTATTTATTGTGTTAGGGGAAGAGGACTGCGGTGTGATGCGTAAACGTCACAGCACTATATACCTCAGTTGGACAAAAACTAGATAGCAAAAGAGACCTTGGAGCAGTTACTACTCAGCAACGACACACACTTTACACAACAATCAAAAGTGCAACACACAAGTTGGATGGAATGCATAAACCTATGCCTAACAATGTATTCTCATTTCAACAGATAAGTATATAAACAAGTTAAAAGAACACCCATGGGATCACAATACCACATGTGATTGCAGAAGCAGAGATACAAAGCCTCGAAAAAATAATCCTACCACAGATCAAACCAAAATTCGGATACGTTAAGTAAATGACACATTTGTAATAATTGGAAGAAACAAATTGTGTCAAACTCGCAACTTAATTAACAACGTCTTCAATGACATCAAATTCACAAGAGAAGAAGAACCTGAGGGCGAAATCGCATTTTCGGACGTCTTAGTCAAGCAAACAACTATAGGGGAGTTAGAAACTCGAGTTTATAGAAAATCAATTCACACCGACCAAATACTGAAGCACAACAGCAAAAATCCGATTACGCACTAAATGACTTATAAAGAAACACTATCCAAGAGGGCCGTGATTAATTGCAGCACTCCCACCTTGAGAAAATTGAAGAAAGATTTCTCATGGACGTCTTCAAAAAGAATGGATATCCACGGAACTTCAACAAAAGATATATCCCCCCAAGACAACCTACCAAATCAAAGGCCGCCAAAGGAAAGCGCAAAGAAAATCACCCCACCATTTATAGAAGACGACATCTCAGAAATCACTACAAGACTCTTTAAACCTTTAGGAATTGACGTCGCACACAAACCAAAAACAGTCACTTAACTCAGCTGGTTTTGTATCAACCAAAAGAATCAACAGCGAAAGAAGATAAAACCAACATCATCTACAAAATACATTGTAGCAACTGCGAAAAACACTACATTGGCCAAATTGGACATCCTCTTCGTCTTTGTATCCATGAACATAAACTAGCCGTCAAAAGACATGACATCCACTCCTTCATTTCACTACATACAGATAACCATGGGCATCAATTCGACTGAGACAACGTTGAGATATTAGACAGAGGAAACAACAAGAATGCTGGAGAATTTTAAGAAGCTTGTCATTCCAGTGAATCATCAATCAATAGACACATCGAGATAGACAAAATTTATCAACCGATAAGAAAGAAACCTCACACACAAAGGGTCAAAGTTCAAGCAAAGAAACAATCAGTTCCAATACAAGTAGCCTAGAGGATGTGAAAACACACAAAAACAACCAATCACGTCCAAGGTCACCCACCAGGAGAGCTGACTGATAAACTAGTGGAGAAATCTAAAAGCTCACTTCTAATTGAAGTACGCGCTGAAGGAAGATATTGCCTAGTAGTATGGCAATGAAAGCTTCGCAAATAAACCAACTAGCTGAGGGAAGGGAACTACGTCAAAATCAACAACCTGAGCTACAAATTTTCTCCATCATAACTAGATGCATATACCCGTTTACTAGGTGGGTCATTGGAATTCGGTGGTTTGGGTTTCATGGTATAAATTCAGAGTTGTGTATGAAGCTGACATCAGGTGGAGAACGTTGTGATTCTAGGGGTTCTTAGGCAAGAAATTCAACAAATGATCATCTGACTACTCAATTAGTATGTTCACACAATGTTTATGGAAAAAAATGTCACGAGCACTGTTACCAAGAAACACTTTCAATATGGTTATTGAAAGGAGGAGGAATTACATGAATTGAAAAGTCAATTCTTGAAGGTCCTGTTCGTACACATCACTTCGCACCAGTAGAGTTTAGTGTATTATTATTTAGTGAATAATTTAGAATTTTAAACCGCAGTGACTCTGGGCAATTTACTAATTTTCTGTTTTTAATCTATTTGTAAAGAATGTCTTCCATAAGTGGCGTTGCTAGCTACATCTGGTCTAACTTTTCCACTTTTACTAGGCTCATAATTGACTACTAAACTAGCCGAGGTTAAGGAATGTATCAGTCAAGAATCGAACCCCGACCAGTAACGTTAAAATTTACTGTCGACATAACTGTACGACACGTTAAAATCTCTCCCAATGTACGAATTTATTCTAGAGACATAAATTAGAGACAATTAAAATGTAATATAACTCAAAAAACGCAACAAATATGACGATATAGTTGACGAAAAAAAAACAATCAAATTTTCACTCAGGAGAACATCACTAGTTGTTTGGTCTTAAGGGAAATTCATCTCCTCTCTCACCTCTCTCCCCCCCCCCAAAAAAAATACATCCCCCACAAAAATATGAATTACAGACAACAACAGTGTTGTTTTTTCTTATGGTAACATTTAGGCAAACGATGTTTACTGCAGTTGATCAGTGAGCAGTTTTCGTTACATTGAATTTTGTTTTTTGTTAGAGCAAAAACTCTTCGTGTACTAACTGATATATCATTTAGAGCCTCTGCGTTTTTTTCTAATTATTTGACAGTAACATTTCCAACTTAAAAAACACATTTATTTCACATTTTCAAAAAATTTAAATTTAATACTCTCTTTATGAGATATACAAGTATACGAGATAGATGTGGTGGGTGAGTGTTTCTGGATAGGGCGTTTTCTCTTCGACTGACAGACTATAAGATGACCGACTCGACCCTAAGACCACCTCCCATGATCTTCTTCAAGCCACCTTTACAGCCATGTCCAACGGTGGCTCTCTTCGAAATCTCTACACCTGATGTCATTTAAAGGTCGCTACACATTGTGTGCGATCCACCGCAGTTTACTTACGCATTTTGATGGGCTACACGTTCATGGATAATTCCCTAAGAGAGCCAGCGAAAGCAGAAATCTTCAATACGACCAAAGTACTGAAGTCTGCTAGGCCAAACGGAATATTCTCACCTTACAAGAAGCACTGGAAACCGATCCAGAGACTGTAGCATTTGTGCTAACGCCATTATTGCAGAAGGTTTGGAAGGAGGAAAGGTGTCTACTGATTAGAAGTATGGTTACCTCGTCAATCCACCAAAGAAGGGCGACTTATGCCTTTGCAAGAACTCGAGTGAAATCATGCTCTTGCCCACATCAATTACTAATAATAAGACGCGTCATACGGGAGAGAAATAAAGGTGCACTGGACGCAGAAATTCATCCACCAGAACAAGATAGATTCGAAAAATGCAAGTCGTATGCTGATCGAATCGCGACTCTACCCATCATCATCATCATCATCATCACCACAGAACAAAGCCTAGAATGGCAATCAAACCTCTATATCAAGTTTCTTCATTAACTTCGAAAGGTCTCCGACAACATCGAACGAGAAATAATTTGGAAACTACTTCAACACTACTCCGCACAGTGCCCAAGTCTTCTTCAAACTCATTCAGTAGCTGGCTCTGTGTGTGTCACTGCCACGTTTCAGGTGATCAACAACAGGAAAGTCAACTAGGCGACCGAAGTGAATACAGGAGTAAGACAAGCTCACTGCCCTTGTGCTATCACCGATGATATTCCTAATTGTGGTGGAGTGGATTATGCGTCAGACTGTGCATGGGAGTGAGAAGACGGGAATACGCTGCACTGATCCATAAGAAGATTGAAGAAGATCTGGGTTTCACAGATGATTTATGTCTGATGGCACACAAAC